CATGCTGGCCCACATGCATACATCATGGAACGTTTGATTACGTGATCGAAAGACAACACACACGCATAACTCGTGTGTTGTGCGTAACTGTATAACACGAGCACGCCTCCCGAGCACACGAAGGAGCGTTTCGGCGTTTCCTGCTCCCGTGAGACCCTTGGGTGGATTCCGCCGCGCCTTGCGGTGCGCACCAGGAGAAGGCGCGGCAGGGGCCGAGCAGGAGGGCGCCCCCATAAGCCGGACGGCGCAACGCATGCGAACAGCATGTGATTTTGTAGTGGTGGCGCATGGTTGTGTGCAAGAGCGAGAGAGAGAGAGAGACAAAAAGAAAGAACGGAAAACAATATTATAAAACACGGGGCAGGGAGTGAGAGAGAAATTGGAGTAGAAGAGGATGAAGATGATGAAGAAGAGGGGAACGCGAGAGCGACGCGGGCAGGGAAAAACTGCGCATGCATTTGGCGGGCTGGTGTGGCAATCGGAATCGGGATGTCTTCTCCATCGTGACAGTGTCGTTCTTCTGCTCGTCGCGATCAGGGCAGCCAACGCGTCCCCTGCACAGCCGAAAAAGGTGATCGACGGCAGCATTAGTGACGTCGGCATTGCGCGCCTCCTTCAACCACGCTGCTCTCTTCACCTTGGTCGCGTCTGCAAGCTCGTGCAACGCTACTTTCCCACACGTGCAGCCGCCCAGCTGCCGCAGGACGGCCGCGCAAAGCAACTGTGGGCGCGCAGGCTTCGAAGAAGAGCGTGGCAGCTTCGACGACGCGGGGGCCGTCCCGCAACCGATGCCAGTGCACAGTCAGGCCGCAGGTGGCTTTGATATTTGTCAAGAGATGAAAAATCACCCGGACCGGACAACTGGCGTTCATTAAACGGCCTTGGGTGTTTACTAAACAGCCCTGCCCTGTTCGATTCCTTCTTTGGGCGCGCTTACTAAACGACTTCGCGTGTCGGGGTGGTTATTATGGGGGTGGAACTATTGAATTCTCATTTTGAGCCCCTGACGCAAAAAAATCGAGGACGGGTCGCGAAGAGGACGGGCAGGAGGCAAGCGTGCCTTCAGCAGGCAGTCTCGGGTGCGCCCGCGTTGGATGCGCAGGCGGTCGGAGCCGGCACTGCCGGAAAAAAAAGGGCCGTGATGCATATGCAACGCATACCAAACATCGCATGTCTCTACTTCGCCAGACCCCCCTTTCCGGGAGGAGGAGGAGGAGGAGGAGGAGGAGGAAGAGGAGGAGGAGGAGGAGGAGGAAGAGGAGGAGGAGGAGGAGGAGAACGAGAGGAGGAGAAGGAGGAAGAAGAAGATAGGGAATACACAAGGCGACGACGACGACGCTGACGCCGAAGCTGACGACGACGACGACGACGACGACGACGACGACGACGACGACGACGACGACGGCGACAACGACGACGACGACGACGACGACGACGACGACGACGACGACGACGACGACGATGACGACGCCGCCGCCGCCGCCGCCGACGACGACGACGAGGACGAGAAGGAGGAAAACCCCCATGCGCACCCCCCCAAACGAGTGGGGAACAGGGGTCAGTTGCTGGGCGGGAGAGCCTCGCGCGAGGGTCGGGCGGTGAGCCGGGGAGCTCAGACCGCACCCCCGTCGTCAGGCGTGAAGAGCGTGCGGCGGAGCGTGGCAGGGGCCGCGCGGGAGAGCGTCCTGCCCGGTCGGGCGACGGGCCCGGGAGCGCGGACGGCACACCTTGCCCACCCCTTTGTTCGATGCTCGTTTCGGGGACCTTCCTGGAGCCCACCTAACGGATCTGTTTGACCCCAGTTCGACTCAAGTTCGACTCAAGTTCGACTCAAGTTCGACTCAGGTTCGACTCAGGTTCGACTCAGGGTCGACCCAAATCGACTGACATTCGACGCAGCTTCGACGCACGAGTGGAGCGAGTGGCTCCAGGAAGGTCCCCAGAACGAGCATCCAACCTTTGGCAGGCATGGGGAGACATGCTGCACGGGCCCAGCGTGAGAGCGTCCAGTTGGGGGGCGAGCGGGAGGGCGACCTGTGCCGGGCCGACCAGGAGCCAGGAGCTCGCGGGGCTCCTTGACAGGCTCGCGGAGGCCTCTCGAAGGCCTCGTGGCTGCCGTTTCGGGCATCCTGGTGGCCCTTCTGGGGGGGGGGGGCTCGCTAGACCTCCGCGCTGCGAGCTTCTGGATGGCCTCCTCGCGGGCCTTTTCGAAAAGCTCGCGAAGGCCTCTCGGAGGCCCCTTGGCTGCTGTTTCGGGCATCCTGGTGGCCCTTTTGGGGGGGGGACTCGCTCGACCTCCGTGCGAGCCTCTGGGTGGCCTCCTCGCGGGCCTTGCTTTTCGAGAAGCTCGCGGAGGCCTCTCGAAGGCCTCGTGGCTACCGTTTCGGGCATCCTGGCGGCCTCTTTGGGGGGGGCCTCGCCAGACCTCCTCCACAGTACGAGCTTCTGGAGGGCCTACTGGGGGCCTCCTCGGGGTGGAGCGGAGGCGCCTCTCTTGGGTCCGTCTGCGAGGCATCTCGGGCCCTGCTTGGGGGCCCACGGCGCCGGCCTCGGCCACTACTGGAGCTCCCCTGGGTTTCTCGACGCGGTGCAGCTGTGCGAACATAGCATCATCATCATCATCATCATCATCATCATCACATCATCATCATCATCATCATCATCATCATCATCAGCAGCATCATCATCAGCATCAGCATCAGCATCAGCATCAGCATCAGCATCATCATCATCATCATCATCATCATCATCAGCATCAGCATCAGCATCAGCAGATCATCATCATCATCTCATCATCAGCATCAGCAGCATCAGCATCAGCATCATCATCATCATCATCATCATCAATCAGCATCAGCATCAGCATCAGCATCAGCATCAGCATCAGCATCATCATCATCATCATCATCATCATCATCATCATCATCATCATCATCGTCATCGTCATCATCATCATCATCAGCAGCAGCATCATCATCAACAGTGTGTTAGAGATGTTTTCTTCCTTGGCCAGCACTGACAAAGATCCCCAAGAGATCCTCCAGAAATCCCCCAAAACTGCCCAAGGGATCCCCAAAAGAGATCCTGACGGAGCGCCTGTGACCACCTTGGAGCCGAGTGGAAGCCTGAACTCCCCAGAAGCCTCCCTGGGCATCGGAGAGAGCCACGCGGCGAAGCCCGAGCGCACGGCCCCCCCCCCTGAGTCTGGGATCTGGGGCCCTCAGGCGTGGCTGAAATATTCAAGTGGCTTACGCAATTCTGCCGCCCCCCAGAGGAAGTGAGAACCGTGGACCCTATCCAGTGGCCTTCGGGTCAACCCGCCACCGTGCCCAGGCTGTGGGTTCGGAAACCCTTGGATGCATGCGAGTGCCTCTTGTGCCCAGGGCCCTCGAGCGCAGCTGGAACACGACATGCTGACAGCTCCAGAAGACACGAGGGCGCTCCGTCCGGTGCCTGCGGCACGGTGGCGGGCCAAGATGCCGATCCCGAGGGACATTTACCCCGGAGAGATCCGCCCGCTGGCGCGGAGCACGGGAAGCTTCGGGATGCGCCTTCGGCTCCGAGCAGAGAGCGGCCTGGCCGGTGGGCGGTCACGCCCCCGAAGTGAGCAGCACGTGTGGCTCGGCGGAGGTCCGCCCGCTCCGAGGTCGACACGCGGCGTGTCTCTGAGAAGCCTCGTGACTCCAGCAGCCGCCGCTCCGCCTCCGCCTCCGCCTCCGCCTCCGCCTCCCCCTCCTCCCTCCTCCTCCTCCTCCTCCTCCTCCTCCTCCTCCTCCTCCTCACTCCTCCTCCTCCTCCTCCTCTCCTCCTCCTCCTCCTCCTCCCCCCTCCCCTCCTCCTCCTCTCCTCCTCCTCCTCCTCCTCCTCCTCCTCCTCCTCCTCCTCCTCCTCCTCCTCCTTCCCCTGCGAGCTCCACTCGCCCGTCTCCCGCTCCGAGAACAGAGCAGGGCGACTTCGCGCGTGCCACAGGAAGGCCCCGCGGCCGTGGGGTCTGCATCGTGGCTATGAGCCCAGGCCCCGTCGCGGGCCGCGCAGCAAGAATCGCGCGCTGGCGTTTTCGGGAGCAGTGCATGGGACGATGTGCGACACGATCACACGTGCGCCCATTTTAGACCTTACTGGTCGTTGGCCATGGGGGGGGGCCTTCCCGAGAGCACAGCTGCCAAGTTAGCTCCGTTAGACCCCACCCCCCGAGACATCAGGAGAGGCGCCATGGCTTTCAACATCCCTAGGATTGCTCGCGTTGGGGCCAGGCTCCCTCCTACCCCCACCAGCCCCCCGCAAACTTCTGAAGCTGTGCGGGCCGCCACCGAACTCCCCCTGGAGAACACATCCAGGACCCCGAGAGCCGACGGCGCGAAAAGGTTGAAACATCGTAGAACATCACGACTGGGGCACTAGACTCTAGCTTTCAGCTCCAATTTTCGAGCCCAATCGATCTGAGAGGGTCACGGGGCCCACAATAGGCGACATCTCCCAGCTCGAAAAAAATGGGACACCAGGATCTCACAGGAGGCCCTGTCCGAGGGCCAGGCTTTCAAGTTCGGGTCGTTGTAAGCCGAATGCGCGTGTTGGCGGTCGGTCTGAGGAGCGGGCGGCCATGTCAGACCGTGGTAGTGAGCTGTCGCCCTCGAAAATGGGGCTAGATGCTCGGCACAGGATCACCCTCTTGTAATGATTGGTCCTCCTCCTCCTCCTCCTTCTCCTCTTCCTCCTCTTCACCCTCCTCCTCCCCTTTCCCCCTCCTCCCTCCTCCTCCTCCTCCTCCTCCTCCTCCTCCTCCTCCTCCTCCTCCTCCTCCTCCTCCTCCTCCTCCTCCTCCTCCTCCTCCTCCTCCTCCTCCCCTTGCACTACAGCGAGCTACCCTCACCCATTCGTTTTGAGACGCGTGTGTGCTAGAGGTCTCTGCTGACTTTGGCCAACGTGGCGTTGTCCCTGCCCGCTCTCTTTCGGGCAGAAGTATTTCGGAAGAGGCAGACCAACCACTAGGACGAGGGCGATGGGCAGCAGTCGCCATCTCACTCTGTAGCCATGCCCGTTTGCTCGAGTGCCGCTGCCCCCGTGGACCTCAGCGACCACCGATGTGAAAGCTTGTGAATATCCACAGCCGGCCCAGACCCGATGCTGCGCGTGGCCATAGCAGGCGCCGGCATCTCCGGCAGCATCCTGGCAGCGCAGCTCTCCAAGCATGCCAACGTCCGCGTGACGCTGCTGGAGCGCTTCGCGCGCGGCGCCCTGCCTCCAGGCCTGAACCTGCTCCTGAACCACAACGGCATGGCGGCGCTGGGGGCGCTGGACGCGAGGCTTGCGGAGGCGGTCAGGCGGGTAGGCGAGCCGATGGTGTCGTGGTCGGCGGCGACGTTGTCGGGCCGGCCGCTCTACGGCCTCGGCGACGTGACCGCAGCGGGCGCGGCCTCCGCCGTGGGCGGCGAGCGCAGCGGGCCCCTGGCAGACACCTACGGCGTGCGCGGGCGGTGGCGCGACCTCACCGCGACCTGCCAGCTCGCGGCGGTCGCGAGCGCCGCCGAGATCCGCTGGCGCACGCAGGTGGCGGGCGTGCGCTGCAGCAGCGGCGGCGCCCGCGGGTCTCGCGCGCCCCTGACGCTGACCCTCCACCGGGCCGCCGAGATCGCGGGTGGTCGGAGGGCCCCAAGCTCGCGCGTTGGATTCCCCCCGGCGTGTGTCCTGGGCCTTCTGGCCGAGACAATGCTCGCGTCGCGAGGAGCTCACGGCGGCAGGGCTCGCTCCCTGGCATCGCTCGGACGTGTGTATTTTTGTCCGTCGGCGAGGACCATCGAGGAGCATCCTTGATCATTTGGCGAAAAAACCACGCACAGAACCGCAAAGACACACAGGGAATGGACGTCCGAGCGATGGCCAGTCTCTGATTTGGCAGTCTGCGGCCCCCAGGGGGCCTTCGCAGGACCCCCTGGGCCGTCACAGAGCGAACGGGGAGGAAAGAGTGGCCCCGAGAAGCGGGGCGGGACTTCCGGGAGCCACGCACTGCAAAACATAAGGCGTTCCATGTTTTGGGAGCAAGCTTCATGAGGCTCACACTCTGTTCGGAGAATTCTCGAGGACGAGGACGAGGACGAGGAGGAGGAGGAGGAGGAGGGCTGAGTAGGGCCAGGAGGGAGCAGGAGGAGAAGGAGGAAGGGGGAGCGGGAGGGGGAGGGGAGAGAGCAGGGGGAGCGGGGGGGAGAGGGGGAGCTTCACGCCCTCCGAGGCGGGATTGGCACGTATACCAACCAGGAGCGGATTCTCGAAAGCACCTCCTATGGCCCTTGCAGACAAAGATGGCACGAGCCCTCCCGAGGATGACCTGCGAGCGGCGAGGAATGATGTTTCCTCGTCATCCTCCTCATCCTCGGTACCCGCTCTTCCGTACTCATCATTCCTCCTCCTCCTCCTGCCCCTCTCCTCTTCCTGCTCCCCTCCCTCCCCCCGCCACTCATGCTTACCTCCTGCTCCTTCATCCGCTCCCTCCTTGTCCCTCCTCATCCTCCTCCCCTCCTCCTCCATCTTTTTCCGCATAAAGAACTCCCTGTCGCGCCACGACGTGAATGTGGTTCTCGTTTTGGCGCCGCGCACATTCGTTGTAAAAGCTGCAACGGCTTCACGGATAGAAGGCAAGTCGCTTCCAAAATGCCATCATCGCTTTAGCGCCGCGCACATTCGTTTCAGACTTCGCAATATTATTATGGATGGAGGGAGGGTCGTTTTCAAAATGTGGGTCTCGCTCCAACGCCACGCACATTCGTTTTTAAATTTCGCAAGAGCTGCACATATTGAGGGCGGCTGGTTTTCAAAATGTTTCAACATGTGAATCTCGGCCCAACGCCGCGCACATTCGTTTTGAAAGTTCGCAATAGCTTCACGGATGAGGCTCGGGTGGTTCCCAAGCTGTGATTCTCGCTCAAGCGCCGCGCACATTCGCTATACAAGTTTGCAACAGCTTCTCGGTTGGAGGGCGGGTAGGTTGAAAATTGTGGTTCTCGCTGTAGCGCCGCGCACTTTCGTTTAAAAGTTTGGAAGAGCTTCTCGGATGGAAGGCGGGTGTTTTTTTTAGTAAGCACAGAGTATGGCTTGGAGGGAGAGAGTTCGTTGCGACATCATCGATGCGTATTGGGGTGACACTGGTCCTCCTCATCCTCCGCTGAGATGCGACGTCGCGAAAACAGCGAAGCACCATGAAGAAACACAACCGGAGCCCTAGACCCCGTCTTTCTAGTGTCGCTCTGCAGCATGTCTTGAGCCGCGTGGATCTGTGAGGGCCCCAGGGCCCAGAACTGGGCGAAGACGCCCGGTGTGAAGAAATGCCACGGGCAGATCTCAGGGTCCTCCTCCCTCCCTCCTCCCTCCTCCCTCCTCCCCTCCTCCTCCTCCTCCTCCTCCTCCTCCTCCTCCTCCTCCTCCTCCTCCTCCTCCTCCTCCTCCTCCTCCTCCTCCTCCTCCTCCTCCTTCTCCTTCTCCTCATCCTCATCCTCATCCTCATCCTCCTCCTCATCCTCCTCCTCCCCCCCCTTCCCCAGCCCCGATCGACGCTGGGGGCCCAGTGGGGACGTTCTCGGCCTCTCTAAGGGATTGACGACTTTTCGCCAATCGACTTGTCAGGATCAAGCCCGGAAAGTCCAAACCGTGGCAAATATCGGCAATGCCCATCAAATTCACGGGGAGCAGACCGTGGCCGATCCCGCGCGAGTCCAGGGGCGGCTGAAGTTGTCAAGCTCTTCTCAACGGCCGCCCGGCCACAGGAAGCGCTGGGCAGCGGGAACGCGGGCAGCCCTGCCGTCGCTGCGGCGGCCGCGGCCGAGGCCGAGGCGGCGGCGTGGGCCGACGCCCGCGCGGAGGAGCTGGAGGTGGACCTGCTCGTTGGCTGCGACGGGCGCTACTCGTCGGTGCGGAAGGCGAGCGTCGATGCCGAGGACGAGCTCGTCTGGCCAGGGAGGTCGGTGGCACTGTCCCCTCAGGGGCAGCGATAGGAAGGAGGAGGAGGAGGAGGAGGAGGAGGAGGAGGAGGAGGAGGGGG